TGGTTCCTACCTCTCATATGGGAGCTGCCACTCACTGAATCTCCTGCTGGCTCTAGGAATCCTGTGCTTCAAGTGCAGTTTATTTTGCGTGAGCAGCAGCTATGCTACGGTGGGCTGCTTTTCCTCCTGTCCCCCCTAGATGATGCTGTAATAGAGGTTTCCTCCAGCCATCCTGATGGCCTGGCAGCAAACACTTGCAATAATAGATTTATTGTAAGATCTTGTAAAAATAAAGAAGTGATTGGGTCATGGAATGGAAGGATAAAATGTACCTAGTGCTATTTCCAGCACCTCAGAAGACTAAATCGTTGAGGTTCCTCTCCTTTGTTGGCTACTCGTTCCGCTTACTTGTTGAAACATGCGTATGTCTATGTTTTCAACTCTAAATAGCCTGCCTCTCACATCTGTTTCACAGCTGGTCTTTACACACATGCATACTTAGCCTCTCATTTACTGTGCAAGATATTGTTTTTTCTCCTTCTCTGTCACTGGGATCATCAGACAGGAGGAGTGTAGGAAGTAATGGAATACATCTTTGAAATATTGCATCTTGTGTTTAGTGTGAGATGTTCACATTTGACTTCTTTCCATTGCTTCCCCCCCTGCCAGAAAAAGAAGAGGAAAAAAAAAAAAAAAGGCTTTTATTTCCTCCCTCTTGGCCATCTGGGTCTGTCTGGTCTTCAGTTCTCCAGGGAAAAAAATTTATGTCTTTGTGAGTCAGCTGGCTGAGGATGAAAACTTCATTTCTCTTTCCTCACCCATTGTTTAGAAGCAACGTGATTGAGGTTGTGTGCAAGGGTTGGTAGCAGTTTAAAAACAAATCAGTGTCAGTTCAAGCTAAGGGTAATGTTTTGTTTCCACTAGCTAGGAATTGCTCTATCCATGTTGTGCTTCTATTAATTTGTTTTGTGGTGGTTGAATGAATAATTGGATACTTAGAATTTTAAGGGTAGGAATAAGCACTGCTGGAGCAAGCTCTGAGGAGAGAAGAGTAAAAAAGGAAGAAGGAATGAGAGGAGTGAGAGAGTGAGACAGAGTAAAAGCTGAAGAAGTGTTAGGGTAAAATAGAGACGGTAAGGAAATGGTAAATTGTTGAAAAGAAAAATTGAGGGAGGCAAGATTGGTTAGTAAGAAGATAACAATGATTTTAATGAACTAGACAAACTAGGAAAACAACCTGAAAAGAAATCGGAAGCAGGGACAATGTGAGATGAAAATAAACAGCAATTATTAATAGCAGTTGGCTCTCTGATTTGGATTACAGAAGGAAACATATATACACACAGCAGCCTTGTGCATCTAGGTTTAAATCAACCCACTCTTCCTGAGCCAAAATGATTTTCCATTAAAATAAACCAGCAGTACTAGTATGGATTGAAAAAAATGATGTTATGATCCAGATATTTCTACTCTTGCTATGCACAGATTGGCTTAATATTGAAGTGTATAATGATGCTGATTTGAGCTAGAATAACTCTGATTTGCTATGGTTGAAAAAGGTTTTGGGCCTCTGGAAGAAAATCTTGGAGCTATTCATGGGAAGGGAGGTCCTGAAAAATACGTGTGTGGGAGGAGCAAAGCAGCGGAGGTTCTGTCTTTCTGCCATCTGTTGCAACTCCGGCTAAAGTATGGTAGCAGAAACATCCTACCTTTTCCTTCTCCTCTTAACAATGGATGATGAAAATGAGAGAGTGAATACTTGACCTGGTGTGGGAATTTGCAGGAGCTAAAATGTAGGCTGGAATACAGACTGGTGTCCTGCTTGCTTTAGGATTTTTTAGGATGTCAGATCTTTAAGCATTGTGCCAATTCTGGATCTTGTTACACATGGGCTCAAAAACTTCATCAGTGTTGACAGAAGCATTGTTGTCACTGTTCAGTCTTGCAAATGGAAAATTTCATCAAATATCCTGTGCAGATTGGCCTAGCTTCATAGATGCATGTCTAATGTCAAAAAGCCTTGATAATTTAGTGTTTTTCAGTGAACAAAATTTTATCAGTAGTTAGGAGTAGAGTGGAAAGACATCACCTTCAGATGACAAAACTACTTCTCTTGTTTACAAAATACCCCCTCCCCTCCCCCAAGCTAGACTGTTCTCAGTTGCAAATTCTCTGTGTAGGACAGTCATGTGGTTTTATGCTAGTTAAAGCATTAAATTATTTAGCCTAGTGTTTCTTTTCATTTTGTCTGTCTCAAAATCCTTGCCAGTAGGGGTAGGACATGACTGAGGGGTGAATGTTGGCGTGCTTGGGGAATGGCACTGACGTTCTGGAAGGGAGTGAGGGAAGGGATAGATACGTGTTGGTTTTTGGAAAGTGGATTCTTAGTTGGCTAGTAAAGTTGGTATGCGAATGGAAATTCATGGCTTCAGAACTAGATGCTTGCATGAATTTTGTTTTTAGCTTTTCTTTCTTACAACTATGATACTACACTTTGGCATCACTTTCTGAAAGCTTTCTTCTATAGGATTTTACTCAAAGAATTGTCATTGGCAGGGTTTCCCCTACAAGTTTCCACGTTGTCCTGGTGAGTAGTCAGTGTCAGTTAGAGCTGGCTGTCATTGCTTGTTCTGTTTGACTTGTCTACATATACCTACATATAGGTATTTAGGAACAGCTTTTCAGCAGCTTATACTGTGAGTTGTTGACATTGAAAAATAGAAGCAAGAAGTTGTCTTGCCTCATCTGTGAGGTTTAATTGCATCTTTGCTTCCAAAAAACCTTCCCAAATATCCCATTGTAGTTTGCGCTTAGAATACTGTAATTTTTATGTATTATTTTTTACTGCTGTCTTGATTGCTGTATGTTAGAACCCAAAGACTTTTTTTTTTCTGAAAGGAGGGAGTTTGTAACACCAACTTCCAATAGTGTATTGCTATTTAGAACAGCATATAAACATTTGCTTTGAAGTATTTAAGACAATTGTGTGAACATGCCAAACTGGGTCTAATGGAAAGTCTGCTATGAAAGTCGGTGGCCTGGCTGTCTTAGTAGAGATGTGAAGGAGCAAGGCCTTCTTGATACCATACTATCCTCTGATTGCTAGATCAATAGCTCCAATTTTATGGATAGAGCATAATCTTTTTTAAAAATGGTCACTGATCACTTATTTATTTTTATAGCTACAGTTCTACTGAACCATTATTTAAGTTTGGTCGTTTTTTACATAGATTGTACTCAATGTATCCTTACAGCCAAAACTGTCATGCAGAATCTTATGGCAAGCATGGCAGAGAACAATTTTAGGATTGAAGGGAGTATTTGCATTGTAGAAGTACTTGAATATGCATTGACATAACTCCTCTGTTTACTGTTGGGGAGAAGTTTGGACTGTTGCTTTTAGTATTTTGTGGATTAATGCTTGTTCTGTGAATAATAAATAGAGAACTCTAGTCTGGTAATGCAACACCTTCCTTGACCTCTAATGTTTATTAGAAAAAAAATTAAAAAGGAGTTAGTCAATGATTTTTTTGCTATAAATTCCTTTGCATTCAAGAGCACAGTAGAGGAAAACTGTTTAAGAGAACTTTGCCATGCTGTTGATTACTTGCTGCTCTTATTGGTTGGCTGTTAATTGAATGTATGTTGTTTATTTTTACTAACACCCCTAGAAGCCCTCAGGGAATATTGAGTGTCACAGAGTGATAAAGCTAATATTTACTGAGCCCTTAAAACAAGAAGGGAGTGGTTGCTTATTTAATGGGGATCTAAATTAGTGTGTTGGAGAATATAGAATACTATGATATAGTCAGATGATATTTTTATCTGTACTCTAGGTACTGGTTACTTTTCCAAAAAGGAAAATTTCAAGGAGAAGACTGTGTGGTGTAGTCCTGCAATGTTCTTATTGCAATGTTCTTATCTACATCTTTCAGGTCATGACAGATTAAAAATGATGTCTGTGTAAACTTGACATGCTAACTATTGTGATTAAAAGAATCAGTTCCTCTGATTTTTTTTTTTTTACTGCTACAGTCTAAATCTGTACTGAATTTTGTTTTGTGCATAGCTGTAGGCAGAAGAATCTTCTCACGATTCATCCTCTGTGGTCTTCACCCTTTTCACAGTGATATAAATATATAAGCGTACTTAATGCTATTTCTAGTTTACTTGCTTTTTTCCCCCCATTTATTTATTTATTTTTAATCCTCTCGGGGCTTGAGTTCAGTGAAGTAAATGAAAATGTTGCCATAGTCTTTAACTGATTTTTTGGATTACTTCCTATCTTCTGATATCAAAACATAATTTATGTTTTTATATATATGAGACAGTGATAGGAATATAAATGTGATATAGAAACAAGAAAACAGTAAATCTTGTGTTATTTACTTCACATGTAATTAAATAGTTGAATAAATGTTTGCCTTGAATAAATGTTTGCCATTCATACTAGAGCTTTAGTGCTGGAGCTCTGGTGATCACGTTTTCATGCAAAAAAAGAGTAAGTTACCTTTTCTTCCTGTGTATATTTGACATTACTAGCATAATTTAGATCTCTGTTATAACCGTTCTATTAACAGAGCTTGCCTATTCTCATTTTTCAGAACTATTGACATTATTTTACTGTTGCATTTTTAACTAAATGTGCTCTAACAGCAATTTCTAATAACAATTTATGTGAGTCATCTCTTCAGGTCTTGATGAATGGAAAGCTGGCAAAAAAATTCCTTCTTGCCCATTGTGAGTTTTCTTAGACAGTGTAAGGGTTTTGTGAGGCTGCTAGGCTTCCCCCCACCCCCCCACCCCCAATCTAAATATGTATTTAGATTTTTTTTCCCCTGCAACTGCTTTGTTTTTATATTTTCAGATGTCATGTCAACAAGAGATTTGTAAGTGTACGCAACTAATTTGATGCAGGATGTGTTTTACCTATGTGACATTCATTTTAAGTATAGTATGTAATTTTTTCCACAATACAAACTATTGTACTCTTTATAATTGCACTTCTCTTTTCTCCTTTCCTTTTTTCCCAGCCTTAAATTGTGGGGATTTCTTTCTTTCTTTCCCTTTCCATTGGGGTTGGTTTGGTGTTTTTTTGGTTTTGGTGTGTGTGGTTTTTTTTTTTTTTTTTCCGTGCATGGAGAACTTAAATTGCTAGTGAAAGAATATAAAAGCCTTGCTTCCTTACTTTATGGAGGTTAGTGGTGTATCCTTTTAGCAGTATGTAGTAAAAGCTGATTCGTTATTAGGTCAGCAGTGTGTTGGTCTACTATCATAAATGCACAAAATATAAATTGAAGAAATAAGTTTCCAAAGTTCTACTTAAAGGAATGATTCTGCAAATGTGCATTCTTAACATGAGTTGAGTTTTTTTCTGTGTACAAGAAAGTACTCTTCCTATCTTAGACTTAATGTAATCCCTGATCCTGAAACTTTGATGTACAGTGGCAGGAATCCCACCACACTTTGGAGCCCCTGTGGGACTCTGCACTATGCAGATCTCTGTTCCCTCCCAGAAAGTTGGTCTGGGATCATGGTGTTCTGTACCAGGGAAAGACCCTTGTGTTGGAAATGAACGCTTTTTAGAAATAATAAGCTCTTCAGGTATGGATAGTGTAACTTAGATTTGTGTCAATTTGAGCATACTAATGATACCTCATTCAAATCTGTGTAATATTTTGTAATATGAATATCACAGTATCTTTGAAATACAAAGGAAATACGCTCCTTCCTTCTTTTTGCATAAATTAGTAGCCTTTGACACCTCCTCTTATTATGTTGAAGTTGGCTAGAATGCTTGTCAATCCAAATCCATGAACACTGTCAGCATGCGTTGATTTAAAAAATGCTTAACTGTGTTTCATGCTTCTGGTTTAACATCAAGTTTTTTGTTTCAAATGACAACTTAATTTGATATTGTTCTGTTTTAGACATCCTTAGCCACGCGTTTTGCCCAAGAGACATTTGGAAAACAGTACAAACAAACCATAGGACTGGACTTCTTCTTGAAAAGGATAATATTGCCAGGTAAGAGAATAAAAACTAACATTGAAAGGCTGGGCAGCAGTAAGACTTGCAGAAACAGATTCTTCAAAGTAATGTATACTAAATAAGCTTAGTACAGTGCTTTTTATGGCAAAGTAAATTAGGTTTTTACCTAATTTAAGAGAAAATTTTGTTAGTATGTTCTTGCCAGGTGACAAAGTGTTATGCATTTGCAGCTTATATCTTTAAGTAAAATACAGAATTCAAATAAAAGGAATGCTATCTATATTCATGATTTTTATTATCTCTACTTGAGTGTTCTCGCTGTCCATGTGGGTAGTGTAACATACAACAATGAAATGGAACTTTAAATACATTCATTGAAAAAGTATGTGTGTTTTGAAAGGAATAGTTTTTTTTTAATGAAATGCACAACTTGTATTTGAGTTGTGTGAGAGAAGCATAATGCAGCTATGGAATCGCAGTGCTCTAATATGTGAATGCTGTTTTATGCAAGGCAGCATGAAATTGCTGGCATTTAATAGACCACTAAAATTTAGGGTCCCTCGGCACTCATAAAAATACAGTTTGAGCATTCAAGATGTTTCACTTCATGATGGCAAAGAAACTATTTAGATGCCAGTTGCAGCACACTGCATGGAAAATGCAAAAAAATAATTAAAAAAGAATAGTTGCTGGTAGAAGTTTGTCTCCAAACAATTGGGGGTTTGAAATAAGTCTTTTCATTGATTTGTGGTTGCTCAATTTCTAAGTATGAAAGTATTTCATTAAATGCATTTTCTTCGAGTTTCAGAAATCGGAAGAAGTTAGAACAGTAATTATTAAAAGTTGTAGTGAGATTTGATAAAGTTGATGCAAGTTCTGTAGTTCTGTCTTTTTTCCTTGTGAAGGGCGGGAAAGGAAGCAAACCCAGAAATGAAGCATTTTAGCTATAACCTGAAGTTACAAGAAAATATATACAGTTCTTGAACTTATTTTGTTAAAATTATATTGCCAATAATTTCTTGGTTATGTTTATATATTTTCTTAAGTGAAACAGAATAATCTTTTCAGACTATTCTTGCATTCACTATTTTGGTTTGGCCATTTTGCTGTACTTTTTTATTATCTGGTGAGTGATAAAGTACCAAATTTCAGTGCTTATTTCTCCATAAAATCAACAGAATAATTTTTTTATTGTCCTGCTCATGCCTCTAAAAATACCAGTGTGCATAATACTTAGCAGCAGTACTTGCAAGTGGAATGTGTACACAAATCATGCAGTGTACATGCTGAGAACTTGTATTTTGCAAGTTTTTTTCCAGCTGTTAAGCATACATAAGCTATTAGTACATTACTGGGGTTCTAAATATTCTTGTTGAGTAGAAAATTTGGAAAATTATCAACTATTGATTCATTCATGTTTTACTTTCTTCTAGTTTATTTTGTAATAAAATCAGAATACAGATGAAAATAGCACCAAAACCAGCAACAAAATCTGTACATCTATTTTTCTCATTTATCATTAACAAAATAATAATGTTTGTGGAATGTATTCATATTTAGGAAGAAGCATTTTTCTGTAGATTGTCATTCTGGTTTTGCCTATGCCTATATATGTGTTTAGGTATATATGGATTTCTGTGTTTTATAGGTAAGCTGAACTGGTGATAGGGAGTGAGAGGGAAGGAAGAGAACAGGGAGGGAGGTAAAATTTCTAAATACTGTAATGGGAAGTATTACTTAAGTAAGCGGATTTTTCTAATTTCTTGATTAGTTCTGGGTTTGCGGAGCTGCTATGTTTACTTGAAAGGTTAATTCATACTGCTGCACAGAAATTATAATGTGTGTATCAGGAGGGAAAAAAGCCTCGATTTCTCTTATTTAGTAGGAGAATTGATGAATAACTGTGGTTCAGTATTTGAATTTTTTTTTATTCTTTATAAACGTGAGCAAAGATCTCAGAAGTTAAAATTACTGATTTCTGGAATTGCACGGAAGTTTGCATTAGAACACATTAGAAATGCATTTTAGCTTGTAAAATAAGTACTGTTTTTCTGGGTTCTTTTGGCTTTTTTAAAATAAAAGCTGTATTTGTCTCCAGTTGTTGTAGTAACTGATGCAGTTTTGCAGGGAAAAAAGTAAATATTTTACATGGTAAAACAATATGGTTTAATACAAATAGTAAATGCTTTCATTAATTTTGAACAATATGACTTTTAGTGTTCAACTGTTGACAAATTCTCTTCATGCAGTTTGTTCAAAATATTTTTTTCAAATGTAAATCAATTTCAGTATATTTATTGATGCAGTATTTTGTATAGTCTGGATGCAACCACGGTGCACATTTTACTGCTTAAATAGTGTATCTGTGAGTCAGAGGGTCTGCTGATAGAGATTCTTAAGAGCCATAGACGAATACTTTTAGGAAGGTTGTGGGTGCAGTCAAGTAAACAGGATTCTTCTGTTAAAAGGATTTTTTTAAGCCGTCAGTGCAAAAAGTGGGCAGGCTCATGTTTTTAGTTCCATCTTGACTGTGCAGCACTTTAAGTAAGGTTAACTAATGCACCAAGTATACTTCTGCAGGATCACTACTGAATCAGCCCAGTGGCTTCAGTTCATACCAGAAACAATCTAGATACCTGCACTGTGTTGCCTCAGTTATTTTAACTTCGCACTTGTGTGCATTTTCTACAGAGTAAAGAAGTGCTAGTGTTTTCTTGTTCCTTATCAGTGTGTTACATATTATTTTTATGGGATTCTGCAGTTATTTTTATTGGGATGTTAACCTTGTTTCTAAGAACTGTCTTATTGTGTGTGGTTTCTTTTTGTTTTGTTGTCATTCTCCAGTTTGTATGTTCCTCTTAAATCTATGAAAAAACAGAAGATTTCAAACTCATTGCAGAAAACTTCATGTGCTATTATCATAGTTGTTAATTAAATATTGCTAGGCAAATTGTCCATAGTTTTTCCTTCTGTCAGAATAATCCTAACATTCTTCTTTCTCCCCCCAAATCAATCTGAGCACAAAGCAAGTATTACAGGACTGAACTGAAAAAAAGGGAAAATGAAGCATTTTGTACTGGAGATGGACAGCATGAATTTCAGTAGTTAGTGAGGTCTTAATTAGAACCACTCCACCTTAAATGAGCATTCCAACCTTTTTTCCCCTATTTCTTTTTTCTGTTGTTAGTGAAGGAAAGTAAATAATTCATAATAGTAGATTTTTCAGTTGAACAGTCACTGTGAGACCATTTAATTTAACTTCCTGCATTGAAGTTTCTCACATAATTTCATACAGTTATCCAGGTACTAAGCCCAGAATGTTGTGCATGATTGCTATTCTTAGGAGGAATAATGAAGTTAGAAACTTTTTAAAGCATTTGAACACAGAATTAGGCATCTGAAAATTGTTGAGTTTGAAAGGGATAATATTTATAAAGCTTTTTTTTTCCAAATAGCTGGCATGAATGACATGGTTAATTTCCAGTACAATACATACAACCAAGTTAGGGGTAGAATACTGCAGCATGGTGAACGTTTGAGCATATTTAGTTTGTATACCCACTGAGGATGCATAGTAATTTCAGACTGCAGATTCACCAGTTTATCCACACCACATACTTTATGGAAGACTTTCCTGCATTGTTTGCAGTCACTTAGGTTCCAAGCTTTAAAAATAATGAATTAATACATAGTATATGCACTGTCAAAACAAATAAGCTTTTTAATCTGTGAAAGGTTGCCTTTATTGAACTGGAGTGTTTATGATGTATTTACTAAGCTCTATGTAGAAATTCTTTATCTTAGTATTAGATAAAATGCAGTGTAGCTTAAAAGTACTGTGAATAGATTGCCTCACATTCGTCTCTATATATTTCACACCGAAGTAGCACTTTAGGAAATGTGTGCTTTTAACCAGATTAAAGCAAGATACATCATAAAACTGTAATGTGGTGTATTTAATACCACAAGTAGCCTATATTCAGTTATATAGTTCTAATTTGCTGTTTATATTCACTGAGCACTGGGATGTATTTCCATGGAGCACACTCCCTTGCATAACTAATGTGAGTGTGTTAGTTATAAACTGATGGCTGAATAGATAGCATTGTGTAAAATAAGGTTGTTAATAACATAAAATAGTTGAATTAAGAGTATGTCTTTCTTAGCAGCCCAAAATACTGGGTTCTTTTTCACTCATCTTTCAGTTGTGATGTGGAAGTTGTTGCAATTTTTTTTTTTTTAGTCCAAGAATAAAATTAATAGGCAGCTATGATTATTTGTGAGTATGTAAATTGTTATTAACATGTAAGTCATGTGAGTTGTATGCAGATTAGAAAAAATTTCATCACACCTTGCTGTATTAAAGTTTGGTGCTTCCAGGTAATCAGTACGTTTTGAAAACAGTTCTCACCCTTCAAAATGAGCCAAATTATACTTTAATATGTTTGTAGGCACATGGTGACATACATTGCTGTGTGTGTGTTTAGTTAGAGAGGGTTTCTGAGTGGTTAGCTTGCAGAATATGTATGACTTGCAGGATATTAAATATTCTGTATTTACACTGATTTTTTGTTACTTTGTTTCTGAAAACCTGTTAATAGTTTCAACATAGCTTGAAGACTGTTTAGAATAGAAAGGAAGATCTATTCTTGGTGTAGATTCTTTGAAGGTGAAATTATGTAAATTGTGTCCAATTTAGTTGCCTGCTTTGGGGTGGTGGGTGGAAGAAATAATCATAGGATAGTTTGCATCCTCAACTTAGATTACCAATATGCAGTTACTGTGCAGATTTTCCCCACTTCTAGATTTGTAAAGAAAATTTGGAGGCGGGGGAGGGACATAGAGTATGAAATAATGAGCTTAAGTTGGCATTAATTGTGTTACCTTTCAAATCCAAGTGCTATAGAACTTTCTCTGTAAAGTTGTACGTGTTTCTTCACTGAAGTATGTTATATAATTTCTAGTCAGGAATGTTATAGTTTATGCAGTTCCAATTCTTTTCTGTTAATATTAAATATGTTAATATCTAGCTATAGTATTACTGCATCTTAATGACTTAGCTGCGCACAAGTGACTTTTTTCCAAATCATAGTCATCTTTGTGTTGAAATTTGGTTACTATTTATTGTATACTTCTAAAAAGCCATTGCTGTTGATATGCTAGTGCTGTATTACCTGCTGAGAGAATATATCTTTAATTTTATTTGTATCTAAATTTTCCAGGTTATACAATATCAGTATCATTTTCTTTTTCAGGAAATTTGAATGTTACTCTTCAAGTATGGGATGTAGGGGGGCAAACAATAGGAGGCAAAATGCTGGATAAATATATTTATGGAGCTCAGGTACAGTATAAATGATGATAATTGTATCTATAGTAATTATATCAAATTCATTGAAACTTTGTTCTTAAAATCATACATATCTTACAGGTTGTTGTTTCATAGATCTCAAAAATGTTGAATCTCTGCTTAACCTACACTTAATTGATATTCATATGCAAGTCTAATTTTGGTATGTAGTTAGTTTTTTAGAGCTGACTTAAAAAGCAAAGCAAGGGTGTGCATTTGTAGATCTGAATAACTCTCAAGAACAGACGTATGTTTCCATGCTTTGTGTCTTGAGTTAAGAAAAGCAATCATAGTAAGTAGTAAAGGCTATTTGGATATCCACATGGTAGATATAGTGGCTGCTTTTAGAACAGATGCCTCCTGGGGGAAAAAAGTAGAAGGAGGAAATTAAGAGCAATCCTACACCATTAAACTCATAATGCAACTGGGGTTATAAGAGGGCAAACAAAAGGAGGCAACCAGGTAGCTAAATATTTTTGCAGAACTCTTATCCAATGAAAATTCATTTTATCTTGAGGTTAACTAAGCAACTTAAAGTGAATGGTATGATTAAGTAAAAGCTAAATATTATAACAGTATCTTGAATTATGAGATTATTTAGGAGGGCGTGCTATATGCCAAACTTCTTAACATAAGTGATCCTAAAATGTATTCTGTTCTTTAATTTGGAGTTTGTAATGAGAACAGTAGGCATAACATTTTGTTACAGAAATGTTATATTTATCTGAAAAGAAAACAAATGCACCTATTTTCCCCCCGATACTTTAAGCAATAGGAATATGGAATCCTGCAACTTTACTGGACAGAAACTTTGTACTAATAAGTATAGCACAGGAATGACTAATTAAGGAGATTAGGATTTATTAGTTAATAGAATAATGACAAACTTGTCAATTTAACATTTTGTCACTTTCAAAAAATGTCTAAATGTTTTTAGCTGTTGCATCTGTTTTATAGCATTTTCTTATTTTTTAATAAAAAACATTTTGCTGCCCTGTTAAAGATCTACCAAGCAACAGGAGAAAGTGGCTTCCATGACAGAGGGAATTTGATTAATCACAAATTGTTGCCATATGCCCAAAGTAGACTCAATGAGGGAAATAAAAGGCTATTAACTTTTTCTGTATTGAATTTGGCGATAAACTTAGGAGTTTCTTACCAGCCAAAACAGGTCAAAAAGTTAATGCCAGTGCCCCAAAGTAGTGAAAACGTTGATATCAGTAAGGCTAAAGTTAAAAAAGTTTGATTTTTAGTCTTTCTGAGCACATTACGACCCTACGTCCAATCTCGTCTCCTTTAATCCTCCCCCAACCCTCATTATAACTAATTTTTTTAATGAACTAATGGCTGTTCTGTCTCCCATTGTTGGGATGTATTGCCAATGTCTGTAATAGGCTTCTTATCATCAAAGCTGACTTGTAACACAGTTTTCTATTAGCTTTGTAACAGCACCTCTTAAAGACACATAAAACTATCTTTATTTTCATCTATTCATGAAACACCATGAATAATTTGGAAAGGCACTGCTTTCAGCTTGTTTCTAGGCAGAAGCTTATTTCATGTTGAACATCTGTAGCTTCGTAGAAGAAAGAGGAAAGATAAAGTAGAACAAGTAGGACTATTTAGAAAGAAAAATCCTTTTAAGTATGTATAAAAATTCCTGTGAATGGACAGCAAAGCAGCAAGAAAGGAATTGGGAAGAGCTAGCATGGAATTAGCAAGGGTAAATTGTGCCCAACCAACTTGATTGCCTTCTCTGGTTAGTTGATTGGCTCTGTGGAGGGGAGAGCAGTGGATGTCAAGGCCTTTGACATAATTTCCCATAATATTATTACAGACAAAATGTAGAGATACAGACTGGATGGGTGGACCATAAGGTGACTGAAAAACTGAATGGACAGCTGGGAGATGGTCCATAGCTAGGTGTCTTACTGGTGCCTGGTTATAAGTCGTATTCCTTAGGGGTTGGTACTGGGGTCTTGTCTTTTATTAATTTTTTGAACAATGGAACAAAACATTGTTTGTAAGTTTGCAAATGACACCAAATTGGGAAGGAATGGTCAATATGCTGGAGGGTAGGGGTGCTATTGAGAGAGACCATGACCAACTGGAGGAATGGACCAACATAAGCCTTCTGAAGTTCACTGAAGACAAATGCAAAGTCCTGCACCTGGGATGGAATAACCTTATGCAGGCTGGGAATCAAGTATCGAGGAATCAACTGGAGAGCATCCAGCAAAGGGCCACGAAGCTGATTAATGGACCGGAGCGTCTCTCCTATGAGGAAAGGCTGAGAGAGCTGGGACTGTTCAACCTGGAGAAGAGAAGGCTCAGGGGGATATTACCAATGTATATAAATACCTGAAGGGAGGATGTAAAGAAGATGGAGCCAGGCTCTTTTCAGTGGTGCCCAGTAACAGGACCAGAGGCAGTGGGCACTAACTGAAACACAGGAGGTTCCCTCTGAACATCAGGAAACATTTTTTCACTGTGAGGGTGACCCAGCACTGGCACAGGTTGCAGAGAGAGGTTGTGGAGTCTCCATCCTCAGAGATACTCAAAAGCCATCGGACAGACATGGTCCTGGGCAGCTGGTTTTAGGTGATGCTGCTTGAACAGGGGAATTGGACCAGATGACCTCTAGAGGTCCCTTCCAACCTCAGTCATTCTGTGAAATGGCTTTGGAGAAAAGACGGTGGGGGTCCTACTGGAAAAAACCCAGTTGAATGGGAGTCAGCAATGCACCCTTGCAACAGTAAAAGCTAAGTGAATACTGGGCTGCATTAGTAAGAATGAAGTAGGCAAATCAAGGAAAGTGATTATCGTCCTCTCTGACATTTTTGAGGCTACATTCGGACTACTGTGTTCAGTTCTGGATTCCTCAGTACACGAAAGTCTTTAAAATATTGGAGCAATTCTAGTGAAGGTTACTACAAAGAAAGTATGTGTACTTATGGTGTGTTGCACTTTGTCAGCGTGTGTGGTGCAACCGGGATTTTAAACATCGTGTTTGTAAAGTACACAAGCTGTACACTTACACATAGAGTAGATGATTTGGATCTGTTGCAGAAATTGTGTTCATCTGCACGTATTCTCCAAATCTAAATCATTCAGATTTTAAGTACATGTGTAGAATAGCTTGCAGCATGCCTACAGTATGCATCATGCTTTTATCCAGTATTTGCAGATGCCTACAGCCTTGAATAGACTTAATCTGGTTGATCATCGTGAGATTCAGAAATCACAAGTGGCTGAATTCTTTCTTTTCTGCTCCAAATGTATGGCAGACCTACTCACGAAATACTAAGACCAGCTGGAAATGGAAGTTTTGAGAATCTACAGCAACTGAAAATGTTATCTTAATAGCAAGTCTACAGTTTACTTGATCTCAGTTGAAATTTGATCAGGATACCAGGGGGAGTAAGTGGAGCATCCATCTATACTTTGCTGCAAACCTTGCCACTGGAGGTTTCCTTCTCTTTGAATGAGAGCTGAATCAATTCTCTAGGATAGTTCTTTTGGTTAAGTTACTGTTAAGGTGCCATTTTTGGACTGAGGTGCCTGATTTCTTGTTCCATGTTTTAAAATAAGAGTTTCAGATTTGAGGATGGGAACCTATTTAATTTGCTTGTGTGGTTGCAGTTGGAGAAATTGCAGTTCACTTGCTGCCTTTAAGCAGTTCTTTTTTGTCCTTTTTTTTTTTTTTTTTTTCTCTGGTGTTGCTCATCCAGAACAATATAGTTGCCACATACTGTCTTGGTAGCTGGATTTCACTGATGGGTCAGAAGAACTCTGCAAGCTTGGGGGAAGAAGAGCTCTTTGATCTTTACAAATGAAAGGTTCTAATAAACAGCTTTCTGTCAGTGTTGATTAAAACACATTTATCTCAGAATTGAGAGAGGTTAAGAGTAATCATATAGTCATTTACCATAGCTCAGCTGATAGACAGTAGCTCATTCAATTATGGTAACTTGATCATGTGTATTTGAGTGACCATATCCTCAGTATCAGCAAAGACAATGGTGGTTAAGTATATGTAGACCCTAAACTGTTTTCACCTGTAAAAATAGCATTTCTGCAGATGTGCAAGACATCATGATGAAGTTACTGTTTTCTAAAATGAATATTCTGTGACTAGAAAAGAATACTTTAGAATTTTTATCTGACATATTTCATGAATATTAATGAAAATTTGGAAGTTAATTTAGTTTCTTCATACTAAAGTCAGTCATAGGATGTGGGCAGCTGAGGATAAACCTGAAGAAGAAAACATACGGTTTTAATTAGTGTTTTCTGTAGCTTTCTTTTATTGTGACAAATCTTGACATAAACTTGACACCTTTTAAATGTTGATTGTCTAGTGTGAATATATTGCCTGGTTACAACACTTCCATAATTGCAGTTCTGTTGTATAATAGCGCTGCTGCTGTTTTCCTGGTAGGTATATTGGAACCGCTCCTCTCTCTTACCTGTAATTGCTGCCCCTACCCACATATCTGGTTTAAAGTATCTTTAAGAGCGGGCAAACACTATCTGATAAATTGGCTTGTTAATAGAATAAGAGTACTGCAGACTTTACCTTCCCCAGAGACCAGCAAATAATTTCTGCAATATTCTCAGTTTCTAGTGACCTATTTTTGAAAATACTCTATAATTCCAAAACAAAAAGCACTCACATATGCACTAATGTAGGCAGAGTGTCACTCTTACTAGAGTGCAATTATGCAAGCAGGGACTATTTGCCACATTGCTGGAGACTAGAGAATTAACATGCTGTTCTCTGCATGTTGTTCTCCATATGTTTCAAACCTTTTTCATGGCAGGGAAATGCACTACTTTTGTGTAAAAAGGCCGGTGTTAATTTTCCACCTTAATTTTTCATGCATATTCGGAAAATAACAGCTTTTATACTATCTACTCATTCTGTACTCCATATACTGTAAGTTTGTGGAAAATATGATGTATTTTTGTGAAAGCAGTGATGGGGATTCTATGTTAAATAAAAAAAGGTGAAATAAATTTTAGCTATGGAGCTGTGACTAGTCCTTCATTAATTATCTATATCATACTAAGTTGCTTATAGAGTGCTGTTGTGACAAAAATCTAAGCAGGAAGTATTCTTTATGACCTGGATGCTATGCTGCTTTTTTTTGCATCTCTAAGATGTCATACCTGCCATCTTTGTTTCTTAAGTATAGCAAATATTGATAAGATTAAAAAAAAGAATGGTTAAGAAAAGAATATGCTTTAGAGGCAATGTTTTAGATCATGGAGAAGGGGACCAAAAGGAAGTTAGGTGAGCTCTAGTTGCAAACTTTGTTCAATGATTTCTTTCACAGTAAATCCACTGTGAATACTCTTTCTTCCAAAGGTGTAGGTAGGCTGCAGTTGACTAGAGGATGTGTAGCAGAGTAGCATTTTGATGAAGAATTAGTTAGAAACAGAGTTGACCAACCTTAAATGCTCAGATTCTATTCACTTTGTCTTACATCTAACTCTGATTAAACTCTTCAGTGCTGAAGATGGTTTAGATAGTCTGCTCTGCTTTTCTGAAAGCTGGCAAGAAAATTTGACCCCTGGTGAAAGAATCATGCCATGTGCACTTTTTCATTTACAACTTTCAGCCTTATGTCTGTGGTTTGGTTTTTTTTTTTTTTTTAAAACCTTTACAATACCCATCCTTCAGCTTGAGTTTCTTCTTTTCCACTGAGCATAACATCAGTATGTGCTTCCTAGAGCAAGTCTTAAATTATGAAAGACAAATACATAACATGCACAGGCATTTGGGTAGTTATAAAAATAGTCAGGAGGAGTTAACTGAAATGCAAGATATTAAGGAATAAATTGTGCAAAAGTTGGAAGAGGGAAGTGGATGTTTAATACTAGATTTGATTAGTAAAGTAAAGGAGGAAAGATAGCAAGGGAAAAGATGGGTGTCATAATTCTTAATTTCCTTGAAGGAACTGGTGAAAGCTGTTCCTAGAAAATTAATAGCAGCCATATGTATATAAGGAACAACTCATTTTGCCAAGGAGTTGATGGCATCGAAGGAGAAGAGGTAGATTT